GTGAAGCCATCCAAGACTTCAATGTTCTCGCCACAGGCATGCACAGACTGAACATCGTCATCCAAGAAGTCCCCAAATTCCTGAACCTTGGTCTTGGTCCAGTTGACTGAGAGTCCCAACTGCTTCGCCTCCTCATGCAACGCCTTGAGAGCTACTTCCAGGACCTCCAATGTCTCTGCTAGAATCACTGCATCATTGGCAAAGTCAGGGTCTGTGACCTTGAAATTACCAATTGATGCCCCACATTAACTATGGTCCACGGCACGGCCAAGTATCCAGTCCATACAAGTATTGAAAAGGGTTGGAGCCAGGACACATCCATGTCTCTCCCTGGTAGACACCGGGAAAAAGGCAGAGATGCCCTCCCCACACTTGACAGTACTCTTGGTAACTGTATACAGGCCAGACAGCAAACCAATAATCCCAAGGGGGATCCCACAGAGACCCAGTAGGCTCCTGAGATTCTCCCAGTTCAGAGTTGAAAGCTTCTTGATATCAACATAAGCTGCAAGCATACCTTGTTGAAACTCAAGACGACATTCCACAAGGACACAAAGTGCTAAGACATGGTGTACAGTTGACTTCCTGGGTGTAAAACCAGACTGCTCAGGTCTCTGTGCTTGTAATAGGTGGTCGCGCACTCATGCCAAAAGCAGATGAGTGAGGACCTTGCCTGGTACACTGAGCAATGTAATACCTCTGTTGCCACAGTCCCTTTGGTCCTCTTTCCCTTTCCAGATAGGGATGACCAAGTCCCTTTGCCAGTCAGGAGGAATGGTACCAGTCTCCCAAACAGCAGACAGGACTGCATGCAAGCCACAGATCATGGCTTCTCCACCCACCTTCAACAACTCCACAATAATCCCACAGACACCAGCAGCCTTTCCACTCTTCAGCCTAGAGACTGCCCTTCTTACCTCTTCGATGGAAGGTGGTACTTCACTGATTGGTGGATCAGCCACTAGTGGCTGTGTGTCAGCCAACGAGAATTGTGAAGACAGGAGTCTCAGCCCAACGGGCCCTATACTCACATGGCACCGACACAATGTGACCATCCTCTGCCCTCGCCAAGCCCAGTTGAGAGATGGACTTCAACTGGGGTTTCCTCAGGGCTCGGAAAACAGGTCGAAGGTCAGTGGCAGTCCCAAATCGGTTTGAAGGGCTTAGCACTCTACAGGACCCTGCTGAACTGTGGGATACCTTTAAACGGAAAACCCTGTCAGCTGCTTAGGAGTGCCTTGGGATCCGACCTCGGCGAAGGAAGCATGTTGTCTGACAAGACATTGAACAC